TATATATATATATATATATATATATATAAGCTTTACTTGTTTTGCTTCTCTAGAGAATCTAGCCTAAGATGGCAAGCAAGAGAGCAAACAACAACAAATCCCAAACCCATTGTCTTCTAGTCAATCTCACTCACCCATACAGGACAGAGTAGAACTGCCCCACAGGGTTTCCAAAGCTGTAATCTTGACAGAAACAGACTGCCTCATCTTTCTCCTGTGGAGCAGCTGGTGTGTTTGAACCAACTTTTTGATTAGTGCCTAACTACTATGCCACCAGGACTCCTATAAGGAGAGTAATGGATATGAAATCAAAAAGGTAATGGGGGCTAGATTACATAGAGCTACATAATAGTGCCTAAGGCACTTGACTGTTAACCAGAAGGCTGGCGGTTCAAACTTCCTCAGAAGGAAGATGGGGCAATCTACTTCTGTAGTGATACTGCCTCGGAAACCCAAGGAGGGGTCGCTATGACTTGGGTCCAACTAGACGGCATATAACAACAACAACAAGGACTTTGCAGTTTACTCTGAATGAGACAGGAAGTCATTGGATGGGTTTGAACAAAGAAGTGAGGTGATCTGACTCACCTTTGAAGAGGTTCTCTCTGGCCACTCTGTTAGGGACAGGCTATAGAGGGGTGAGGGTAGAGGGAGGAGACCAAGTAGGAGGCTATAATGCAATAAACTATGGAGGAGATGATGATGGCTTATAGTGGGTGGCACAGTGGAGGTGGTGAGATTCTGGATACATCTGCAAATATAATAGAGCTGACGGGATTTGCCATCAGATTGTATGTAGGGTATGAGAGAAAGTGAGAGTCAAAGATGACCTCAAAGATCTGGCCTGAGCAACTGCAAGAATAAAGGTGTCATTACTAAGATAGAAAAGGCTAAGAGAAGAGTAGCTTTGTGGGAGGAAAGCTCAGGAGCTCGGTAAAACAGGGAGGAAGCGTCCAGATATATGTGTCTAGAGTCCAGGGAAAGGGTCCAGGCTAGAGACATACATTTGGGAGTTACTACTATAACATTATCCTATTTATATAGGGTAAATTGAGCCTAAGGTTTAGGAAAATAAGAAATACTTATGCCAAAAATGTTATTTTTATGTTTTAATTTGAAGAGATAACATGCTAATTTTCTACCTTATAATAAAGTTTAATTAAAAAACCCCCACTAGCTCTCGTGGTGTAGTGCATAAGGCACTTGACTGCTACCAGAAGGCTGGTAGTTCAAACCCACCAGTCACTCCCTGGAAGGAAGGTTGGGCAATCTACTTCCATAGTGATACCACCTCAGAAACCCAAGGAGGGGTGGCTATGAGTCAGATCTGACTTGACTGCAGTGAGTAGGTGTACAATCATCAGTCAACTCTTTTCCATCAGAGCCTTTCATTCATTGAAACTAGCAGTGGTGGTAAAATAGCATTGCGTTAAAGCTCTGTTATTCTGTAGATTACAAATCACCTTACCTCAGAAGATAACACCTGTGCATGGACTGTAGCAGGAACTGGTTGATTTTCTTTAAATTCCTGGAGGCAGTCATAAACCTGCAGAAGGGCATGGGTGGGAGAAGGCAGGTAGATAAAGACCATTAACAATTTTAGAGTTAAGGCTCTTGAAGGGAAGAAAAGGAGCTCTCTGGTAGCGTAGTGCCTAAGGCACTTGACTGCTAACCAGAAGGCTGGTGGTTCAAACCTACCAGCCACTCCTCAGAAGGAAGATTGGGCAATCTACTTCCGTAGTAGAGTTACCACCTCGGAAACCCAAGGAGGGGTCGCTATGAGTCAGGGTTTGACTCGATGGCAAACAACAAACGGAAAAAACAGTGTAGTCATCAAAGAGAAATAGACTCAAGCTTATCGGTTCTAATGCTTCAAAGGCTTAATTAATGGCTATTGGTGGAAACTGATCTTTCCCAAGTGATTTCACTGATTTTTAAAAAATTCAAGCTTTTACTCTTGTAAAACTAAGTAACCACTACCTGTTTGACATACTCTTGTGGCTTGCATGTCACTGTGATGCTGGAAGCATCATACCAGTAGGATCTCCCACGGTGGGCAGGTTTTTGGAAGGCTTTGAGACTAAGACAGACTAGGAGAAAGGCCTGGGAGATAGAATCCTCAAGAGCAGCCAATGAAAACCCGGTGGATCACACAGAGGATGGTCCCACACAGTGCTGGCAGAGCCCCTTGGGTTGGAAGGCACTCAAATGCACAGTGCTGCAACAATGGAGGTGAGTGTACCAACAGTTATTGCCCAGGACCCGGTAACGTTTCTTTCTGTTGTACATGAGGTTGCCATGGGTTGGAGTCCACTTGACAGCAACTAACAAAGTAAGTAAGGATAGGCTTTCTTGGGCTGAGGCCAGTGGAGACTTAAGACAAACCACAAAAGGGCATCTCAAAGGGTGAGATCTTTGGGGCAACAGACCAGTGAGGACTTCTGCATGGGGCACCTGCGAAGGTCATGTATGTGGCATATGTGGCCCAATATCCATCAGAGGGTCTGAACAGATGCTAGACATGCATTTGGGTTTTGTTTCTGTTTCCTCCCTTAATTTTCCAGTAAAAGATCATTCATAAAAATTCCAACTTGGTCTCTGGAGTCCCTTAGGAATTTTTTTCCCCCATACCAGGATCTAGAGCTAAGCTGAGTACAACAAAGCCTGCCTAGCTCTGCAGCGCAGTCCTCCGTTTTATTTAGAAATCTAGTTTCTGTTACAGATGGCGAGGTCACCTCAGCCCAGCCTTTCTCCAGATCTTTGATGGTGGAACTTCCCTGCTCTACCTCAGTTAGTGCTCCGGGAAGGTCAGTTGACTGATTCATGGTTTACTTGCAAGTGGTTCAGGCTGATTGATGCAGGCAATGCCAGGCACCAACAGCAGACCATACCCTTAAAGGGCCATGTCTTCAAAAAAATTAAAACTCCTGTTCTAGCGGTTCCCAGGAGAAAAAATGCTTGATAGAAATTGGGTGTTTTAAAAACAAGTAGAGTGAGAAGTACTTCTTTGTTCATGTTAAATATGTAGCCAGTTTCCTTTGAAAAAAGAATGTAATATTAACATGCATCATAAAACTGATTACATTTCACTTTTAAGTGAAGGAAACACATAACCTCCAAAAATATCTTCAAAAAGATCTTTCTCTATAGTAACAGTTATTCAAAAGAACAAAATTATAGTAGTTACTTGTTATGGGTTGAATTACGTGCCCCCAAAATTTATGTTGTAAATTCTAACCCCTATGCGTGTGGTTCTAATTCCATTTGGGAATGAATTGTCTTTGTTATGTTAATGAGGCAGGATTAATGTAGGATGTATTTTGAGTCAATCTCTTTTGAGATATAAAGGAGATTAAATACTCGAGCGGAAGTAAGATGGAGTAAAAGAGGTGTCAAGACACAGGAAGATGTCCAAGTAACCAGGAAGTGGAAGTTGAAGGGACAAGGACCTTCCTCCAGAGCCGGCAGAGAGAGGCAGTTTTCACTCAAGCTGACTCTGAATTTGAACTTCTTACCTCAAGCATAGTGCCTAAGGCACTTGACTGCTAACCAGAAGGCTGGCGGTTCAAACCCACCAGCCACTCCTCGGAAGGAAGGTTGGGCAATCCTACTTCTGTAGTGATACTGCCTCGGAAACCCAAGGAGGGGTCGCTATGAGTCGGGGCCGACTCGACAGCAAATAACAACAACAACAACAACCTCATAAACTATGGGAAAATAAACTTTTGTTTGGTAAAGCCATCCACCTTTGGTATTTCTGTGACAGCAGCACTAGATACTAAGAAGGAGCTCTGGTGGCCTAGTGCCTAAAGCATCTGACTGCTAACCTGAAGGATGTCAGTTCAAACCCACCAGCCACTTCTCAGAAGGAAGGTTGATTGAGTGATCTACTTCATAGAGATACTGCATTGGAAACTCAAGGAGGGGTCGCTATTAGTTGAACCAAATGGATGGCAGCGAGTTTTGTTTTTTGGTTTAGATAACTAAGACAGTGCTATTGTATAGTGCATACAATTTTAGCCAATTTTTAAAAATGCCTAAACAGAACTGTAGATATATCATTTCCTTATTTTTTAAAAATTGAAGAAGGATAATTTTTTAAAAGCATATTTCTTTTCCTTAGTTGGCCTCAAGGACAAAAGATTGCAGACTGCTGATAAAGGTGCACTAATGACCACTCACAGTCACTGCTTTGGATCCCAGGGGGCACCTGCAAGCAAAAGAGTTGGAGAGAGAAAAGAAAGGAACTGCCATAGTCCTTTCTAAGAAGCTAATCCTTTCCTAGGAGCCCTGGTGGCACAGTGGTTAAATGCTTGGTGGGTTGAGTCCATGGCACACAACAATCCATTCCTAAAACTAGAGCAATACCTAAGCTAAGAGGTCTGTGTAGTTCTTTTCTGAGGATTACCGTTTAACAACTTTTTCCACGTTGAAATTTCCTGCCCACTGACACGTGACACTGCTGGGTAAATAGGTTTTCTGCTCCTCGCGGTAAACACGGGCCAAGCCATGGAGTGCTTACCTTTAGCAGAGCCAGCAGCCATGGGGAGTGGAGGAGATCATACAGGAGACACACTCCATTCACATCTCGGCTGTAGAACAGGCCCAGCTGCTGCAGCACAAGCCTCAGGATTTGAGAAAGGCCTGGAAGCGGGACAGGGCAGAGAGTGGGTGGTGGGCAAGGTGGAAAGAAAGGCAGGTGCAGGTGTGAAAGGCAACTCAGACAGCATGCCATGGGGTCTCAGAAGGCATGGAACAGACGCTGGGATGTAGGGCCAGAAGATCTGGTTTTAAAACCTGTTCCTTTGCTTACTTACTGTATAAACTTCAGAAAGTCACCTAACTATCTGAAACCTAGTTTCCTTGTGGCAAAAGGAGAATACACGAATTTACTCATAGTGTTGTTGCTAACATTAGATGAAATAGCAGAAAATACACAGATGTAAGACATTATAAGAGCAAAAAATAATTGCTTCCCCTGCACAATCTGATCAGGCTTCATTATATTCCAAAATTATCTAGTTCTTTCCTGGATATACCTTCTCTAAAGCAAACATAGAGTCATTTGTCGTTACCCTGTCTCAAAATTGTTATTGCAAGTGTTACTGAAAAACGCTAAAGCCCAATAGGTTATTAATACAAAGCTCAGAATTCCACTGAATTATGGGACTAAACAGATTGTAGTTGGCTTTTTTTTTTTTTTCCTTTTGCAAATATTTTTATGGGAATTTTATTTGTTGCAGTGATATTTTTAATGTGAACAGGTTATGAAGTATTCTGTTTTACATAAAACAAAACATAGAGGAGTGATTAAAAAATAAAGCTTTTGAATCTGTCATGTAGATTTCTTTCCTTCTTGCCTTGAAAATTGCTTGCAGATTTTTCATTAATGGAAGTAGCAGTGCACTCAAAAGTGCACTACAAGTTCCTTGTAAGAATCACAGTGAATGTATTAGAATTTCTGTCCATTCATTTGATCACAAATTTAGACTAATATCGTAAGGCTTTTTGAGTCTACAAACGGAAGCCCAGAGAGACATACCGTTCTTCGAGTTGGTTGCCGTAGAGATCTCCATGTCCCTCTTTGGCGGTTCTGTTTCTTTGTCTGACTGTATCATCTTTCCTGCCTGAGCTTTCAAAAGGAATTCCAAAATGGAAAGCAGATCAATAAACAGCACATAACTTACAAAGTTGGGCTGCTAACCCAAAGGTCAGCTGTTCAAACCCCCCAGTGGCTCCGTGGTAGAAAAGATCTGGCTTCTGTGAAGGTTGTTGTTGTTGTTGTTATGTGCCCTCGAGTCAAACCTGACTCATAGCGACCCCTCCTTGGGATTCCGAGGCAGTATCACTACGGAAGTAGGATTGCCCGACCTTCCTTCCGAGGAGTGGCTGATGGGTTACAGCCTAGGAAACCCTACTCAGAAATGCTACTCTATCATATGGGGTCAGTATGAGTTGGAATCCATTTGAGGGCACCTGTTGTTGTTGTTATTTGCCATTGAGTCGGACCTGACTCATAGCGACCCCTCCTTGGGTTTCTGAGGCAGTATCACCACAGAAGTATATTGCCCAACCTTCTTTCCGAGTGGGTTTGAACTGCCAGCCTTATGGTTAGCAGTCAAGGGCCTTAGGCACTATGCTACCAGAGCTCCTAGAGGGCACCTAACAACAGCAAACTTAGTCATGCTGGCCACACAGCTCTTAGCCCCTTGTAGTATATTTTCAACAGCATTTACTGAGCAAGTCAGGCACTGCGCTAGGCACACAGAAAACAAAACACGTCTTGTCCTCGAGGAGCTTACTTTCAAAGTTAACCATCACCAGCTGTGTAGAAAAGTACTATTTCGTGAAATGCTCCCTCTTTCCCTTATTTAAATCAAGGAGCAAATAATAATCCATTTGTTTGTCTTCCACCCTCTGTGCCTAATTGATTTCACCCATCATTTGGAGCTCAGAGGAGCCTTTCCTGCTGGATTCCACACAGGTACCGCGCTCTCTTTTTGCACACTAAAGTTCCTCAGAGCGCTGATGAGAACTGCAAGATTCGTGGGTTACTGCTGAGGCATACTCAGCATACTTAGAGCTTATTTTCTATATTGGTTTAAGTGTAGTTTTAAGACACAGAAACCCCAGACAAAAGTTGCTTAGCAGTGGCATAGTGCTTATTTGACTGCTAACCAGAAGGCTGGCGGTCAGCCACTCCTCTGAAGGAAGGTTAGGCAATCTACTTCCATAGTGATACTGCCTCAGAAACCCAAGGAGGGGTCGCTATGAGTAGGATCTGGCTCCACGGCACATAACAAGTTAAATATGGGAGAAAAAATGCTTGATAGAAATTGGGTTTCTGAGGCGGTATCTCTATGGAAGTAGATTGCCCAGTCTTCCTAGGAGTGGCTGGTGGGTTTGAACCTTATTTCTACCTTACACAGGTTCCAGCTTTTGCAGGTTTTCCCTGTACTGCTCACAGTATTCAGAGTGTCACTTGGATCACTACAACACACCGCTATTTGTATGTGTGCCAGCGCCCAGTCGCTGCATCCCTGGTGGATTTTTCTACAGGTGCAAACTTTATTGCATCATTGTACCTTTTGGTGTAGTCATGTCCCATATTTACATACTGAAGTACAGAGTGTTTTATTATCAACCAAGTTTCTTTCACTTTTCCTGTTTATTGTTATCAGGGCATTCATTATATAGACTTTTAAAAAACATTTTGTAGTAAGTGTCTTAGTTTGTGTTCCCTGAGGATCAGACCCAGGGCACAGATTCTAGTGCAGGAAACTTATTTGGAAAGTAGCCCCAGGAAACATCAGCAAGAGGTAATGAATTAAGGCAGAGAAATAAATAAAGCCAGTAAAAGGTATGTTACCAAACAAGTATCCACTATAGGCAACTGAAGCTTAATCTTATGGAGGAGTGAGAAGCACCGAAGTGAGGGTATTTACACACCAATGCTGTCAGTTGGTTGAGGGTTATTTTTAGGGAGAATTAATTCCCATGGCCTTTCCAGTCTGCTGCCTTTATGCCTTCTTCAGACAGAGAGAACAGGGACTGGCAGTTGGAAGTTGGCCCAGAGTGCACCAGTATGGCAAGGACCAAGGAGATACGGCAGGGCACTGACAGCATTTGCTATACTATTTGCTACATCCTACAACATTTGCTGTAGTAGGACACCAAATCCAAACCTACTGCCGTTGAATAAATTCTGACCCATGTGTTAGAGTAAAACTGTAATATTTATGAAGCAGATCATGGTGGGTTTGGACCACCAATCTTTAGGTCAGTAGTCAAGTGCAAACCATTTGTGCAGCCAAGAGGTAATAAAGGATAAAAGAGGACTTTTTTTTAAAAAAAAAAAAAAAAATAGCATTTTCAAATTAGTTGTTAAAATTTAAGGCATAGAATCTAGAATCTAGACAGATTATGAAGTTGTGCCTGGAAGGCTATCTAGAAGGAAAAAACCCAACAGATCATGATTATGTTATCTCTAAACTCAAAGGCAGTGAGAAGAGCAACACAGAAAGCTTTACAAAATTTTAGACAATAGAAGAAAGAAAATGTATCAAATGAGGAAAGTAAATTGTTTTGGATGGCATTCTAATTACAAAAAAGGTGCACTGCATTTAGAGTGCAGCATTGGCTTGCAAGCATTTTCCAGATAGTATGTACTTACTGATGAGCACTATTTTATTTTGGTAAAACTAACGTAACAAAAATTTGAAGATCTTATTGCTCAAATATTGTTTCTTTTTTAAAAAATTTATTTTATTATTCTTCTCCAATCTAAACACACACTTTTTTTTTTTTTTAACATTTAAATAATCTTGTAACATGTTTGAGGCTTGGAGATTTGAACATGACTAGGATATTAGGTGGGAGCTCTGGTAACATAGTGCCTAAGGCACTTGACAGCTAACCAGAAGGCCGGCGGTTCAAACCCACCAGCTACTCCTCGGAAGGAAGACTGGGCAATCTACTTCTGTAGTGATATTGCCTTGGCAACCCAAGGAGGGGTCGCTATGAGTCGGGGCCAACTCGATGGCACATAACAACAAGAAGGATTATTAGATAAGGCACTATTGCTAAGGTGAGTTGGATAATGGCATCATAGTTAGGTAGGACAGAAAATGTCCCTGTTAAATGTTATACTCCGCTACATTTACCAATGAAATTATATGCCTGAATTTTGTTGTAACATTCTCATAACAAAAGCAAGCATGGGTCATAGGTGGAACAAGATCAAACAATGTTGATGATGGGTGATGAATTCCTCAAGATTCATCATGTTGTTGTTGTTGTTATGTGCCCTCGCATCGGACCTGACTCATAGCAACCCCTCCTTGGGTTTCTGAGGCAGTATCATTATGGAAGTAGATTGTCCAACCTTCCTTCCAAGGAGTGACTGGTGGGTTTGAACCACAGCCTTCCGGTTAGCAGTCAAGTGCCGTCATACTATTCTACTTTTGTGTATGTTTGAATATTTCCATCATAAAAAATATTTTAAAAATCATCTTGAGCTCAGATTTTGTATTTCCTCCTTACATTATTTATAAACATGTATTTGCCTTTGTTTCTACATTCATTCATTCAACAAATGTCTACTGCATACCTGCTAATGTGCCAGGTTCTTGGGACCCAATAGCGAGCAAGATATACCCAACTTCTGACTTCACAGTTTACAGTCCCTGGCTCAAAAACATCTTGCCTATAGAACAGAGTCCAATTCTCCAATTCTAATGTGGTATTTGAGGCTCTCCAGGACTTTTGTGGTGGCATTTCCAGTCATTTTCCCACATGCGTTCTTTTCCAGTCTTTTCTAGTTTGTTAGATTCTACCAAAACTTGGCATCATTATGAGTTTGCTTTCCTCCACCACCACCCACACTGCTCAGCTCCAACTGAGATTAAGTCATGCCTTTCCCCATATTCTATTTTTTGAGCCTCTATTGAATAATTTAGCATAGCAGTTGTACATATGATTCCTCTTCCTCCCTAGGGAACAATTCCAGAGTAGGAAATTTAAAAGGGAGACAGGGTGCCTGGCAGACAGACAAAAGTCAGAGCAAACAGATGGGACTGACATCAAGCCATCATACTCAGGCAATCTCTTAAAATGTTACCCTAAGGGCAAGATCAATCTGCCACGAATAGGTCCTTGTTAAAACAGTACAGATTATAAACTGTACATTGTAAGGTGGCCTACATTTCTTCCATATTTTGAGCCCAGATGACAGTATGTTGAACTAGGTCCATCCTTTCAGTAGATGGGGACACTAGAGACTACAGATTCCTGAGATAATTTTATTATGAGGATCATTACAAAGACTGTGATTTCTATCGTGGATCTTAGTTATTAAAATAGTCCCTAATAAACTTACAGTCAACTCGAGGTCTACATGGATAATTAATCTAAAAAGGTTCATTTTAACTGAAAGATGCAGCCATGGAAACATAAACATTAATTTTCAACTCCACAACTAAGGTGAATCCTGAAAACTTTGACTGGTCCTCAGGTTCCCATGGCAAATTTATAAAAAGAAACCCCCAAAATGAATTCCTATCCTCACAGCTAGCTAAGAAAAGTGTTGCAATTCATTGCCCCCAATAGCACTCATCACTCTCCACAATTCTCTTAGCCATTTACTTGCTCAGTGTCCATGACTAGCAGGTATACATAATGTCTGCAGAGGTTCTGGGGAGCAGAGAGCTTGCTTGTCTTGATCCTGCTGTAGTCTAAACACCTGAAACAGAGCCTGGGTCACAGTGAGCACGATTTTTGGTTGTAGTTGGGAAAGAGTAGAAAAAGAGGAAGCCAAGATATGAAAGTAATAAGAAGTATCATCCCAGGCAGAAACCTGGGATGATACCTCCCCCACACGGTTCAGTAGCAGCTGAGTGCTCAACCCTGAGAGATGTCTTTCCTCTCCTACGTTTCCCTCTCCCAGGCAACCATGACTTCAGTCTCCTTTCCAACCCAACTTTATAATCAGAGGCCAAAGGGATGTTAGAGATAACTAAATGCAACATTTTCATTTTACGATAAGGAATGGGAAAGTCAAAGAGGTATTTTAGTAGAGTTAACAAAGAGTAAAATAAGTTTTCCTCAATTACTCTCAAAAGATGCTAGTGTCTGGCAAAAGACTGTGAAGTCTTTTCCTTTCCTTCTTTTTCATGACTTCTGTACCAACTTTGCCTGTTGAGACTTACCTATTTTTTTCTGTTGTTTTAGCAATCAGAATTCTTGATTAAGATTGTTAAGTAAATATCCAAGCACATTCTGGACTGATTAAGGAACAAGGGAAGACTGGCAACTTCTCAGAAGTTGCCTTACTGTTACTGACACCAACGGTATTTGTCCTAAGCATTAATTCTCTGAACTTTCAAAATGTAGTTAGTTATTGCTACTAAATGCCATAGTTCCCTGCCCCTATCATGCTTGTTTTCCAAGAAAATTTCTTCAACTAGACAAAGGCTGAAAAAGACTTACAAATTTCATGAGAGACCAAGTCCGTACAGAAATGGCTGGCTTCTCACGGGGTCAAAATGCTGCCATTTAGGACCAGATCAAAGCTCTACTTTACTCAATCTCTGCAACAATTCACTTAATTCCAGACTTAGAAAATGACTCCTCAAAGCAAAGCCTGCTTTCAGTCACAAAAGTCTCAATATAACTTGGGTTATTATACAAGAAAGCCATTTAAATTAGATTACCTGAATTACACCTTTATCTGGTAAAAATTGACAGAAGGGCTAGACATTTCATAGAAGGTATCTTCTGTAACTGAGGATCTCTTACCTGCAAGACTGCAAACTTGCAATGCTGCTCCTATCCTGGGGAAAGCGTTAGAAAACGCCAGTGGGACATTAGCTGACAAAGTGACCTCGCTGCTCTAGATACAATCTTTGCATATCCTCTTTGATTTAATCCACAGAAACCTAATGTAGCCCAACCACTACTCACACGCCTCCCTTTGTCACAAATCTTAAGAATTCCTTGCACTGAAAAGTCTAATATATATAATTCTCTACTCCCACCTTAGTATGTTCTCTCCCACATAGTTAACACCAAAAAGATTTGTATTTTTATTGACTCTTTCAGGAAAACAGATACCTCACATTTTAATAATTTTCATATAAGGAAAAATTGTGGAGATATGTGGGAACAAGTCGACCTACTAACCTTTATTATTTTTTCATGCTGTGGTGAGAAAACGAGGGGAGTCTCTTAAGCCAATAAAAAGGCCCATCAAAAACACTTCCTTCAGTTCCCCTACCAAGCCATTGCTCTGACCATACAGGTTGTCCATTCTCCATCTCAAACTGGAGCTAATTCTTTATTTGAAAATGCTGCATTGCAGGAAACATTTGGAAATATCACAGAAAGAACAAGAAAAGGCGTGCTGCTGACAGCAAGGCAAAGGGTAAAGAGCAAATGACAACTAGAGTGGGGAAGGTCATCAGCTCTTTGATCCCAACGTGAGACACCTGGCTTTAGTGTCCACTGTAGCTGAAAACACAGCTGGGAAATAAAACATTTGTGAGTATATTAAGCACAGAATACTTTACCAAATAGACTTAATTTCATTAAAAGTTTTCATTTTTAACTCGGTTTTTAAGAATATTCAATGCACACAGCACAGGGAGGAAATGACGTGTTTGGCAGCTATAGGAGAAAAGTGCCCTGAAATTGGAGTAGGGAAGATCCAGACCGGAGTCTCCATTATGACAGTGAGCAAATCACAGCCACGCCTTGTCTGCAAAATGAGGACACAGAGGTTGATGTCTGCTTCACAGGGCTGCACTGCACATTCAACACACGTGAAAATCTTTATAAAATGCTATGTGAATGCTAGGTAATTGTATGTGGAAATTGGCCTGCAGATTTAGAATTCTGAGAGAACTAACTAAAAATTTATCATTTGAATATGCTACCTCACTGCCATCGAGTTGGATGTGACTCATAGCAATCTGACTCATAGCGACCCCTCCTTGGGTTTCCGAGGCGGTATCACTATGGAGGAAGCTCTGGTAGCATAGTGGCTTAGGCACTTGACTGCTAACCAGAAGGCTGGCGGTTCAAACCCACCAGCCACTCCTCGGAAGGAAGGTTGGGCAATCCTACTGCCGTAGTGATACTGCCTCGGAAACCCAAGGAGGGGTCGCTATGAGTCAGGGTTGACTCGACGGCACATAACAACAACAACAACAACATCACTATGGAAGTAGATTGCCCAACCTTCCTTCTGGGGAGTGCGGCTGGTGGGTTTGAACCACCAGCCTTCTCGTTAGCAGTCAAATGCCTTAGGCACTACACCACCAGAGCTCATAGTATCAAGAATCTAAAGTAACTTGACAGTTTTGATCAAGACTCTAGTAAAAGGATGAATTGTTCTTAGAATTGAGACCATCTACCATCATTTGAGGATTTATCAGTGGGTCTCAAGTTCTTCTTTCTGTACTTCCATATTGTACTCCTCTCTCTTAAAGGGGTTCAAAGACATTAAACATCAGAAATTTGCTTTTACTAGCTTTATTATAAACGTGTATTTGTGTGTGCATGTGTATCTTTTCCCCAAGTTCAGAAAGTCAAAGCAACTCCTAATGGAAGTGCAAAGTGTTTAACATAAACTCATTTTAAACTGTTGGTTCCCAATGACAGGAAGTCATGTTCTGGTAGAAAACAGCAGTGAGACAAAAAGCCTTCTTCAGAAGGCATGTGATTTACAAGTAGGGGAGGATTAACGAAAGCCTAGTGCTTCTAACTTGAATTTTAAATCCCCACTGTTCAGTAACTATCAAAATAAGCTTTATATTCAAAGAAATAATAGATTTCTTTCAAGACACTTGTCCTAGGGTTATTAGGATGTGAAAGTTAATTTGTTCTTTGTCAGCAAAGTGCTATAATTATTAGTTTACATTTATTTTAAAGAGTGCAATCCCTGAAACCCCAGAGGGATCACTGTGGCTAACACAAAGGGACACAGATCAGAATGTGGGCGGAACACACACTAAGCCTGGGTTTCCTTTAATTTTTGAGGCCACTCTGTGTGCCATTCCTCCTGTAATCATAAAACCACCTCAGAAAGATGAACTTATTTTATTATGAAAATTGCTGCTACATTACAGCTTACATTCCAAAACCGTATTTTAATAAACACTTGTCTTGATTATAAAGTAGAGCAGAAACCATGATCCTTTTTCAAAAGTGATTAACATGAGCTGAGTCACTAAACATTAGGTCAGGAGACACTCCGTATGCCCCCATGGTGTGCAGGAGATGAGATGAGGAAGAGCACCTATGTTATTCAAAACAGCTACTAGTGTTACCTGCACAGTGTAAACCAACAACTTGAAACCACAATGGGACATTTGTTTAAAAAGCAAAAAGCAAAACACTGAAATTTTGAGGTGTCACAATACTTTTGAGATGGGAAAAGCCAAGGCCTGTTCCATTTTTCCTTCCCCTCTGTGAGTTCAGTGTGAGGTACAGGGAAGAAGCACAACATGGGAGGGCTGGAGTCCTTGGCTTCTGCAGATCCTCCTCTTTAGTCCTGCCCCAAAGCACAGCCCGCGAGCAGCAGCTCTTCAAAGTCTTATTTGCAGGCCTCAGAATGCAGCACTTGCACACAGACAAGTGAGGTTTTACAGCAGCTTTTGAATTCCAGTGTACTTGCTCCTTGTAACACACAGTAAAGCAACCAAGAACAACATCATTCCTATGTTCTTTCTAATCAAGAGGCAGAAGACTCCTATTTGGAGGCATTCCATGTTTGGGGGTCAGGATGTGGTAGTCACAGCATAGAACCTTTCCCACCATGAATACTCTGGTGGGAAAGCCTAGAAAAAGTTAAAACTGCAGTTTAAAGTTCTTCTTCCCCCTCCTTCGGCAAAGTAGCATGATGCACATGATTGCAAGGAATTTCAGAAGGCATAGTGTGGCAACTGCAGTTTCAAGTACAATCTGCCCCTTGCAAAGGGATCTGGGGTAACTGCAGATGGATTCAGGCAAATCAGAAACTCAAAAAGTTCATCAACTTCTTTAATGAAAGAAGTTATTCTGAAACTTTTTCTTACAAACTCTGTGTAGTTGACATATCTATAACCTTAGAAGTATCTTCCGTTTTTTTCTAACAGTAGATGGATGTTATTTTTGGAAATTAACATAGGCCAAGACCTGTTCTAATCTGATTTCTACCTTCTTTTCAATCCTCCCCTCAAACTATGCACATTTTTTTTTTTTTTTCTGGGCTCAGGGCTCTGATCATTAGTAAGGCTCAGAAGTAAGAACCAAAAGAACACAATGTCTTTCCTAATTTCAGTGCTGTTCCTTTTGTCACTACAGGAAGACTCCAGATGGTTCTATAACACTCTGTAGTAGATAATCCAGTTTTCAAGCTGTTATGCAGCCTAGTTAAGCTTCTCACGCTGGATCTGGTAGTAACATGCCTGGAAAAAAGTTCAAAACAGTTTTTAAAAATTGCACAAAGAAAGCTATACACATGAGACTAAAGAGAGAACATACTTTATTAATACTGATTGCTCATCAGTTCAGTTGTTACCACTTTCCCTTCTTCCCTGTCAGTCCTCCTACCAGTGTATTCCAAAGACAGTTGATGTTTTCATTAAGCTTTTATATAAAGAAGTGTCTAATGACAGATTGGAACTCTGGCAGCATAGTGCCTAAAGCACTTGATTGCTGACCAAACCCACCAGCCACTCCTCAGAAGGAAGATGGGGCAATCTACTTCCATAGTGATACTGCCTCAGAAACCCAAGGAGAGGTTGCTATGAGTTGGGTCCAACTCGACGGCACATACCAATAATAACAACAATGACAGATTTATAATATGGCAAGTAAAGGTCAGATTTTAGTAAGATTATTAAATAAACACTTGTACTTACCTTCAATGTAGTAAACATTATACCCTGTTCCCCATGCTGAAGATATGGGTCCATTAGATCTTCAATGAGGTGCACTTCAGAGCCTAAATTCCTAATTCTGCCTCAAAGAGAACAAGATGCTGAGTTACTTCGACTTACATGTCTATCTTCCTTTCAAACCTATTTGACACAAAAAGAACATCTCAATAAAAAGTTAGTATCGTATTAGAATAGATGAACAGAAGTGTACTTTTTCCTATTGAGGGAGCATATTCCAGCCATCAGTTCAGAAAAAGCAAGTGGTAGGAGGTATTAAAGTAATGGATCATTCCACGGCCTGACCTACCCTGAGACCAGAACAACTGGCTGATGCATGACTACCACTCTCAACTATTTTGATCAGAGCCACATTAGATGAACACTACAGAATGGCAGAAAAATGTGGAACAAACCTCAGGGAAAAAAAAAAAAAAGCCCAGACTTCCTGGGCCAGTTAAGACTAGAGGACACTCTAAGACTATCACCTTAAGATACACTTTAAACATTAAACCAAAACTATCCCTTGAGGTCATCTTTTAGCTATATAGCAAAATGGGTGTCACCAAACAGTAACAAGCTTTTTTAAAAACTAAAATCAATCTAGGAGATCAAATGGTCAAAAACTACTCTAAGACAAAGAAGAGAGAAGATAAGGGGGCAAGGAAACTAGACTAATGGAAACGGTACAACCAGGACAGAATGAATGAAAATAACAACATACTGTGGAAAACGCAACAAATATCACTGAATAATTTGTGCAGAAATGTTTAAATGGGAACCCAATTTGCTATATAAACTTTCACCTTAAACACAATAAAATTGTTAAAATGAAAAAATAATGAGTTACTAAGATTAAAGTCGGAAAGACTGGTCACCTTGCCCGTAGCACCACGTACAGGAACACCGGAAACAAGTCATCCATAGACCACAAGAAGTCTTCCTGCAGTGTTGCTAGGACACTCTGGGAGATCTCTTCAAAAGTCTGCTGGATGACCTTCAGTTTGTCAGATGGGGTAAATGTCGTGCTGTTGTAAGAAAACGACAAAAACTTGTACTACAATTTTCTTAATAGAGCCATTTGATATTTTTCGGACACTATTCTCTTTTGGAGCTCACATGCTTTATGTTGGACACATCGAGCATAATGGGTTGCTATGGTTCTTTGGTAGCATAGTGGCTAAGACACTTGCCTGCTAACCAGAAGGCTGGTGGTTCAAACCCACCAGCCACTCCTCGGAAGGAAGGTTGGGCAATCCTACTTCCGCAGTGATACTGCCTCGGAAACCCAAGGAGGGGTCGCTATGAGTCGGGGCCGACTCGACGGCACATAACAACAACAACATGGTTCTTTGAGAAAAGAAATCTCCACTGTCTATGGTTCATATGGAAGAATTCACCCCAAGTCACATATCATGTCCTCTTACCCATGTGGCATCTTATTTTCCTAATACATGCTCTTCTCTGAATGAGAAGTTTGATTAATTTTCATTTGGTTAAAGATGTGATTATGTCGATAAATATTTAAGAAGGCACTCTACCACTTCCGAAAATGCAAAGGCCTTGCTGAGTAAAAGATAATCCAAATAAATGTCTCAAAGAGTGTCTTCCTGACCTCCAGATTGCATTTGACTCTACGTACGGGTGGAAGGAGGATCTTAAGAGTTTAGGTAAAATTCAGATGTCAGGAACCTCTTAATAGGCTAATCGTTATTTTGATTTATGTAATTTTTCAATAAATAAGAGACTACCTGATCTGCTGTAGACATTCTACTGCTGAAGCAAAACAAGCATCTTTTGTGGTTGGCAAAACCTGCAAAAAGACAACGGATGAAAGTCAAAGAGGAAAGCTTTCTTCTCAACAACAAAATAAATGATTCCGATAGCACGGTGCAGGTCTTTGGTGAGTAACTGAGGCTAATACATGCTTGGGTACTGCTCTACCAAAAGAAAATGAAAATCTACTATACCTTTTTACTCTCTCCAAGGATTGACAGTGTCACTGGCCAAAACTTCCTACAAAAGATTCCATAAATTGTTAATGCACTGTTACTCATGGCAGGTAAAGCCCTACAAAAACAGATGAGAGCTACACTGGCTCCCCTATGCCCACTTAAAATACTCCACAGATAAATCCCTATAAAGACAACTGACAGTTACATTGCCGTCGCTATGCCTATTTAAAATAACCATGCCACTGACAGGTTATATTTGAATAAATGTTCTATAAGTGATTTGAGAATTTTTATCGTATGTCTGATATGCTATTTCCTGACAATATCATATTGGATATTTAAGGGACTTGTCATTCCACACTTCAGTAACCCTCTACATTACAGATGCTCACAAATAGTGGTCAAGCGCTTTCCTTCACTCAATTTTACCTCAGTTTTACTAAAAGAATAGCCCACTGAAAAAATTAGTTTCTCATTTAAGTTTACCCACTTTTTCTTTGGGGGGTGGGGGTAGCACAAAAATATAATCATTGGGTGGAAATTAGCTTTATCATAGCACTAGAAAGAAGTGTAATCATTTAGTACTCCCCTGGAATAATAAGAAACAATGCCCTATACATAAGACAGCATTTCTAAAACTTTTAAATAAGAAATGCAGATGGGGAGGGAAGGAAGAGAAAGAACAGAAAAATGCCAAAGACTGAATACAATCAAGATTTTCTGAGGAATGTGAATGCTGTTGTTGTTGTTATGCGCCGTCAAGTCAGACCGACTCATAGCAACCCCTCCTTGGGTTTCCGAGGTGGTATCACTACAGAAGTAGATTGCCCAACCTTCCTTTCAAGGAGTGGCTGGTGGGTTTGAACCGCCAGCCTTCTGGTTAGCAGTCAAGTGCCTTAGACACTATGCTACCAGAGCTCCCAGGAATGTGAATATAAAATATATGTTTTGTTTTAAAGTATCAGGCAGGATAATAACTTGTATTTAAATATATAATTAGAAACATATTCCAGATAAGCAGGCTGCATACTCATCTCTGCAAATTTTCAGAAATAATCAAGGATCACCATCGATAGGCAAATAAACTGCAAGTCATGTATGCAATCAGACATCAAAGTCCCAGATTCCTGATAATGGTGTTTGCCTCTTGAATGAAAACCATCTGATTCTGCCTCATAACTACTGTATTTACCTCTGCACCCCAAGAAAGCCCAGAAGAGCAATATCTGGCTGTTTATTGAGTCGCAGAACACATTCCCAGTAAATGTCTTCCTCACGATCATTATCCAAGGCATAAAGCATGAATAGTGGTGGGTAGAGCCGAGGTAGTAGGACAGGAAGCAGTAATCCAGAACTAGTTACCACGTAACTACAAAACAGTGCGTGGGAAGAGAGAAGCATTGGTGTTAAAATTCAATATACAATCAAAGGTCCAGCTTCAGCTGCTAAAAGCTGAAAGCAAAGATGAGAATTCTGAGTAAAGCAGCAGCTAAAGAAGTACTCTGCATGGCGTAGACAGGAGGGGCTTCCATAGTTCTCTTGAACCAAGTGTGAATTCCTTTCATTAACCCAAAATCTAACTGAAAACCTACTTTGTTTCCATCTGGAGGCTGATTTCTCTCTGGTTACCAGAGGTCAGCACGATATTTCTTTGCTCAGCAGCCTTTACACCTCATCATTTGTGGCCGCACTTTCCTGGGGCATGGGCAACAGAATTTGTGATGGAAAAGGTACCTCACAGATCATCTAAGCCAACCACATCATTTTAGAAATAAGGAAATTGAGACCTAGAGAAAACAACTCTTCCCTGCTACTTCTTGGATAAGACCATCTGGTCTCCACCTTCCTCCTTCATTATCTCTACCCAGCTCCACTTACCCTGGCTCTGGTGATTCTGATCTGGAGTCTGGCTTCCCAGTGCAGAACGATTTCCTTTCAGTTGGCAAAGGAGCAGACAGAGGAATTGTGCTGCCCTCTTCCGGAAGCTCAGGAAATAAGAACCTAAGAAATAAAACGTAATTTGAAAAACACTTCAATGTCCAACATTTAGAAAAAAATTGCTAAATAGTTTTGTCGTTGTTATTATGTGCCATCAAGTTGGCTCTGACTCATAGTGACCCCTCCTTGGGTTTCTGAGGCAGTATCACTATGGAAATAGATTGCCCAACCTTCCTTCCAAGGAGTGACTGGTGAATTTGAACCAACAGATAGTGCCTTAGGCACTATGCTACCAGAGCTCCTAAATAAGTTTTAGAAGACCCAATTAACATGAAATTTAAAATGTTTTAAAAACAAAACAAAACAAAAACTCAATTTCCTGAAAATTAATCCTTCAAATGCTAGCCTTTGAGTTTTACCCTAGATTTTTTATCTTTGACCTTTCATATGTAAGTGTTGGCTCTACCATAAACAAGCTCATTGTTCTCTTTTTATTTCCAGATTTAAACTGACCTTTAAGGCAGTTTAAAATCTTCTCTATTTTTGTAAATTTATACCCAACCACTGACTCTGGCCCTAAGTTTATAGCTGGGAAAACTTAAAAGAAAGAAAGAAAAAGTCAGGCAATCTACTTTCATTATCATATACAGCTAGCCAATATTAGAGCTGAACCACTCCAGCCCAGTGATCTTTTTAGTACATCACACCGTCCCTCCAACACTCGAAAAATTTCCAAATGCGTTTATCAGTTTTGATGCTAATAATATAAGGAAGTTTTCTGAGACAAATTTGCAAATTTTTACATAATTCTATCTCAGTAATACAGGGTTTCCTTACTGGCTATAAGTCTCCAGTCAAAGAGCACGTTGCTCAAATCTCCCAGGCTCCGAAACTGCTTGCTGCCTGGAACTCTTTTCCGAAAGCTGCTTACTCTCTCTCACTTTAGCGCCTTCTCATCTCCTTCAAAGTCTCCAATCAAATACTACCTTATTAGTCAGGCCTCCCTAACCCTTATTTAAAATGCTGCTGTGCTGTTATGTGCCGTGGAGTCGGCCGAATCACAGCGACCCCTCCTTGGGTTTCCGAGGCAGTATCACTACGGAAGTAGATTGCCCAATCTTTCTTCCACTTGAGTAGTGGCTGGTGGGTTTGAACCTCCAGCCTTCTGATTAGCAGTCAAATGCCTACCTCCAGCCCAATTCCCATTCTCTTCCTTATTATCCTCTAGAGTCCTAATCAGCATCTGACATACTGTATTTTAGTTGCTTATTATCTGTTTGTCTCCTTCCACTAGAATATAAGCTCCATGAGGACAGAGATTGGTATTTTTTTTTGGGTGTTGTTGTTCACTGACATATCCTTCCAAGACCTAGAACGATTTAGAATTAAATTGTTATTATTTAGAATTAAATAACTAAATAATAAATATTTTCAAATAAATGAATGATGTTGCTGTCAAGGGACAAGACATAAATATTCATGGACAAAACTTTATATTGAATTTTATCTACTCTGTAGATTTTCTCCAGAGATTAATCCAAAAAATAAAACTACTATATCTCATACCTGGAGCTCTGGTAGCATACTGCCTAAGGCACTTGACTGCTGAGCAGAAAGCTGGTGGTTCAAACCCACCAGCCACTCCTGGGAAGGAAGATGGGGCAATCTACTTCCGTAGTGATACTGCCTTGGAAATCCAAGGAGGGGTTGCTATGAGTCGGGTCCGACTTGATGGCACGTGACAGTAACAACAACATACCTCATACCAAAATTAGAATTAAAAAAAAAAAAAAAACTTGAATTTTAGCTTTCTAAATGAGAAAGAAAGTAAGTAAATGAGTAAGAAAGACATAAAGACATATAAGTAGTATTGGCTAATATTCATCTTTTGTTTATAGAATAAACACAAAGTAAAAACATATTTTCATTAATCTATTTAAAGATCTGTGGCATGAAACTGTTTTTTTCATGAGTAATTCCTATTAAAAAGGGGAAAATTTGTGATTCTTCACAAGTTGTAAACTCTAGATTCAGGCTAAAGATGTCAAAGCATTAATATAAACCAGAATTCCATGTACCTTGCAAACCTCAATTAAAAGATCTCTCACCTCACCAGTTGGAAAATGCGCTTAAGATAGGACTTAATCTCCTTCACTGCCTCCTGTAATACGCGGCGGTTGGCTCCCACACCCACATATGTCATTCTGTACACCGCAACCAGTGTCTCCACAAGCCCACCCAGGGGGTGCAGGGGAGTGTCACAAGCCTGAGCAGGAAGAGAAGTAAGGAAGCCAGTCAATGCACACTGTTACCAGAAACAGCTCATCAATCAACTGTAACTTCATAAATGATAAATAATTTCTGAAATGTTCTCAGATAGGCTGTCAAGAGTCAAATAACTTTTTCCTAAAAGTAATGAATATATCCAAATTGCATAGAGTAGGAGGTCCTCATCTTCCTAATCAAAGACCCATCTTGGGAAAATAGCTTCGGAAGTACTGATATGGAATACTATTAAAAGAAAGGTTCTAATATATACTTCACAAAAAATATGTGAAACGCTGCCTTGGAGAAAAATGAATCCTGATTACTGATGACGCTCTGAAGCACTCTTCAGCGCCCTTGATTCCTCGTAAGGCCCTGTCCTGAAGCACCATACTGACGTATGTTACACTTTAAATGGCAGCTGATCTTACAGTGCCTAAGGCACTTGACTGCTAACCAGAAGGCTGGTGGTTCAAACACACCAGCCACTCCTTGGAAGGAAGATTGGGCAATCTATTTCTGTAGCGATACTGCCTTGGAAACTCAAGCAGGGGTTGCTATGAGTCAGGTCTGACTCGACGGCAGTGAGTTTAGTTTGGTTTGTTTTTTTTGATCTTATAGGGTTGGAGAAGGAAGCGCAGGGAGTATGTCTAGGGGGCCAGGGCTTTATCTACACAATCTGCAGTTTGCTAATGTTACCTTAGTTCTCAGGAACCCTCTGGAACACTTTACAAGAGATCTATCATCAAAATGAGACAATCTTCATGTAGAAATGTCCTCTCAGTCATCAGAGAATTAACAAAAGAAATACTTAGAAATTATAACAAGATGTTGTTGCTGTTGTTATGTGCCATAAAGTCAGATCCGACTCATAGCGACCCCTCCTTAGGTTTCCAAGGCAGTATCACTATGGAAGTAGATTGCCCCATCTTCCTTCCGAGGAGTGGCTGGTGGGTTTGATCCGCCAGCCTTCTGGTTAACAGTCAAGTGCCTTAGGCACTATGCTACCAGAGCTCCATAACAAGAATGTTGTTGTTGTTGTTGTTATGTGCCATTGAGTTGGACCCGACTCATAGCGACCCCTCTTTGGGTTTCCAAGGCAGTATCACTATGAAGTAGATTGTCCCATCTTCCTTCCAAGGAGTGGCTGGTGGGTTTGAACTGCCAGCCTTCTGGTTAGCAGTCAAGTGCTTTGGCACTATGCTACCAGAATAGGGGGTTGTAATTTTTACAAAAGCAGACTGCCACATCTTTCTCCCCCCCAAGTGGCTGATGGGTTCAAACCTCTGACCTTTCGTTTTGCAGCCGAGTGTTTAACCACAGTGCCACAAAGGCTCCAAAAGGAAGATTTATGTTATGAATGAATTTGAATGATATACTGTGGTAGATGCATCATTAATTCACAAGGCCAATGTAATTTTGACTCTGTTGTTGTTGTGTTGTTATGTGCTGTCGAGTCGGAACTGACTCATAGTGACCCCTCCTTGGGTTTCCGAGGCAGTATCACTATGGAAGTGGATTGCCCCATCTTCCTTCCGAGGAGTGGCTGTGACTCTAGTTTACCTTTATTAAATATCTCTTGATGTCTTCATATTTCTCCACAGAGAAGGCACCAATATGGTGAGGAATGAATTCCAAACTCTCTAGTGTCTGAGTCTGTGAACGACTTAGTATCTCTGGGCTACAAAAAGAGAAAAGAAAGCCTGTTACATTTTTTACATAAACAAGGTAATTGTAAATGTGCACATGAAACAACAGTCACCAACCAAGAAGGAAATAAGTATCTAACACAGTGTTCAGCCCAAATGAGCTCAAAAATGGTAACTAACCTGCTATTAGGTATCTGACTTCTTTACCATTCATTCAAAACACCATTCAATATTATTTAACACCAACCACAACAAATGAGTGAAGATTTTGCTCCAACTTAAACCACAATGTTAGGAAATACTATGGAGAAAGCTGATAATAGACATTTAGTGAGGAAGGAAAAAATAAAATAAGGGAAACGGGGACTTAGGAAACAGGGAGGTAAAACAAATCAAAGGGCACAGGAAGAAATAAAAATGAGCTCAAAAAGCAAGGACAGAAATAAGGACACTGCTGTAGGCAGCAAGGTACACACATAATGGATAAATGGATAATAGACATTTAGTGAGGAAGGAAAAAATAAAATAAGGGAAACGGGGACTTAGGAAACAGGGAGGTAAAACAAATCAAAGGGCACAGGAAGAAATAAAAATGAGCTCAAAAAGCAAGGACAGAAATAAGGACACTGCTGTAGGCAGCAAGGTACACACATAATGGATAAATGGAAGCTCTGGATGAAGAAGCTGAGAAAAAAGACATACTAGAAATTGTTGGTAACGGTATTCCACCATTAATTACAACCAATAAGAAATTAGAAATAATGCATAATCATTGTTATTATATTTTTCTAGATAAACAAATTAATCACCATGAACTGATATAACAGTTCATTTATTCTCACTCCTCAGAAACATTCAACAGTTAACCAGAAATGGAGGGCTAAGGCTTCAATGTCTACCCTCAGGGACTGTCAGCAGTGAAGGACAACTGACCATCCACATCAGGCACAAGGGCCAGCTCGTGTCTTTAGTCAATTCTGAGAGTTTCCAACCATGAATGTCATAAATGAAATACTCTAATCAATTCCCATTTATTCAAAATACAGGAAAAAAAATACTTCTTTCTACACTTACTTTTAAAAAATAAAACAACACACACTCCAAGCAGAAGATACGATACAAAGGAAGCATCTGACGTATAAATGAAAGTCAGCATAAAACAGATCTAAAAAATCAACTGTATGTAGTTACACACACAGATCAAAGTGAGCTCTCTGCCATTTTAAAAACAAAGGCATAGCTCAAAAATACATTACATAGAATTTCAGGCAAGAAAATTGTGGTTAATTAAGCGGTCTGCTGCAGGAATTAGCAAATTCTTCATGTCCAAATGCTAAAAATGCTTGTGGGAGTTACTGGCCAAGTAAAGAACAAAGAAATACAAAGAAGGCAGATGGAGAAAAGATAAGCAGGAGAAAAGGAAAGCAAAGGAGAAAAAAGAGAGAGAAAATAAGGAAAAGGAGAAAAAGAAAGAAAAAAAGTACACCAGTAACTTCTTTCAGTATTTTAAAAGTGCCTGGCCTCCAGGATTTCTAAAGAGATATCTCCAGACATTTGAATTGCTATTTCCAAGCAATGCATCATTTTTCTCTAGCCATTTTTCATTTGTTTGTTTGGATTTGCATATGATGTATCTGGGCATGGATTTTTTTGGGGTCTATCCCGGAAGGAGTTTATTCAGTTTCTTGAAGCTGTAGGTTCACGCTTTTCACCAACCTTTAGAAGTTTTGAACCATTATTTCTTCTAATATTTTTTCAGCAATGCATTCTTTCTCCTCTCCCTCCAGAACTCTAACAACAAAATGTCAGACCTTTGTTGTTGCCCCACGTATCCCTGAGGTTCACTTTTTTTCATTCCTTTTTTCTATTGTTTAGATTGGGTAATTTCGGTTGATTTATTTTCACATCCACTGGGTCTTCTGCGTATCTCTATTCTGAGATGAGTACATCCAGTGAGCTCTTTAGTTTGGTTATTGTATTTTCCAGTTTTCAAATTCTGAGTTAATTTTTCTTTATATCTTCTATTTCTTTGCTGATACTTTCTATTTTGGTATTTGTTTCAAGGGTGTTTTTCATTGCTTACTTTAGTATTTTTATATTAGTTCCATTAACATTCTTATCAGATAATGCCAACATCTATGTCATCTTATCATTGATGCCTGTTGATTGTCTTATCCCATGTGAGTTGAGATTTTGGAGGCTCTTTCATTGTTGAGCAATTTTGGTTTTTTGGATCCCAGACATTTTGAGTATTATGAGATTGTGGATCATCTTTATACCTTTGCAGAACGTTGACATGCACAAAGTAGCAGGCCTGAGACCGTTATCTCTGAAGGACCTATTAAGCTTGGACCTTGGCTCGTGTATAGGAACTGAACTGCCAACAAATACCCTGTATTGATTTGAAATGTTTCCTAAGTGGTAAGGGTGTTTTGCTGTGCCTAGACTATACAATGTGTTTTATAGTGAAAAATTACTTTTCTTCTGGGACTCTGGAATTGGGGTAGTTTCTAGGCCCAGGTTGCTTATACATAACAAGCCCCCAATCAAATTTTTGGCACTGAGTCTCTAATGGGATCCCCTGGGCAGAAACAATGCACCTGTGTGGCTGTACTTAGCTGCTGGGGACAGAGTATGCTCTGTATGACCCCTCACTGCAGAAGTGAACGCAGGAAACTGCACAGGGACTCCTCCAGGCTCCACATGTGTCATCTTCTCTGATGATGTGGCTATGGATACTTACTTTGTGATGATAAATGTTACTGGTGAGTATGACTGCATGTTGAACCTTAAGAGTCCTTCCAGTGAATCACTCAACATGTGGGTGGTCTTGGGAACCCATGTAACAGTTGATAATTTTGTTATAGCCTTCTGTGGCCTGTGGTTCCAATGTTCACTTTTCAAAGGCTTTGCAGTGCTATTTGTGTCTGTCCCATGAATGCACCATTCTGTGGTCAGTCTGGGACCAGGGTAGAGATCTACCCGTTAGCTCAGATCTCCAAGCCTTTGGTATGCTAATTAGGATCAAATCTACTCATGTGCAGGTCAGGAGTGAACCAGGCAGTTCATAAACAACTTTACAGGGCTGCTTTCCTGAGCAACTTCCTCTGCACTATCTTCCCGGAACTTCTGGTTCCCTCAGCTCCTCTTTTCGGTTCTCTAGCCAGAACCTTCCCACTTCCAAGGTTGTGTCATGCAGTGGGAAGGCAAAGAAGCCAGAAAAGCAATGAAGTTTGGCTTTCCCCTCTCGGACCTAAGGATTCATCAAAGTGGAAAGAAGGTTCCACTCCGTAAGTTCTGGCTGCTCTAACCACTATTGTAGCCACCCTTGACATGGGGAACTGCCTGGGGTTTGAGGCATGAGGGAATGGACAAAAAGGAGAGAAAGAAAACCTGTCCTCCACCATAACCACACATTAGGAGTGCCTTCTGTCCTTTGAGCTAGAACCAGAGGTTTTTTCCTGATTCTCTGTCTGTCTGCACCACATTGCTTAATTCTAGGTTTCAGGTTGGGTTGAGTTCAGGCCAAGGGATACTGGAGGGATAAAACCACTAAATTCATCACTGGTTCAGTGGTACTTTGAATTCTGGTATTCTCCCCCAATTCGCTTGCTGATATTTACTTCCAAGTTCTCAAACAGCTATGTATGCATTTTGTCCAGGTTTATCTAAGAAGATGATAAAGCTATCCATTCTGTCCAAGTTGTATAGTGAGTTGAGTTGAAATAAAAATATCAAGGTTCCCATGACCACCTAGTGATTTGCTAGAAGGCCTCTCAAGACCCTTTACTCAATCTTAATCGGAAGCAGCAGTACATCAACTTTAAATTATGTTTTTAATGAAATGTGAAGGAGGTCTAACTGCTTGTTGGCTTTAAGTTCCATCTTCCTAATATGCTCCTCCCCATTCCGAGCAGGCATTCACTCACCTGTCTCTGTGTTGGCGTCGATTAGTGGTCAGGGCCACAGCAATATTGTCCCATGCTTTCCAAACTTCCCCTTGGCCTGGGCTCTCACAGCCCAGCTGGCGCCAACATTCATCAAACACAGCTTTCCACTTTTCATCAGCTGGCACTGCCAGGTTTCCTAGTTTCCTGCTAATAAAGTCATGTCAACCTTTTATTAATCACTTCTTTTGTGCAAAAATGGTCCCGAAGGGTAAGACTTTTCTAATACACAACTAGGAATGCTTCTGTGACAAAAACTGTCTAGGTTGATGGTGGTTCCACTGTAAAAACATTGAAACAAAGTTTTAAAGGGATGGCTTTTAGCTACTTAATGTTTATTAGATATGCAAGTACATAGATCGTTAAGTACAGAGCACGAATTGACTTAAGTATAAAGCACATTAGGATTGACTCCTCTGCTTTCTGCAATTCCACAGAATTGATTTTTTAAAATTGATTCCTGTTAAAACAAGGACATTCTGGCTTTGCATATCTCACAATGAGAACTGTGAAATGCATTACATAATGGGTTCTAAAAATACTCTAAGAATAAACATAGTACAGAAGATTATATCAAGCTCACGTAAGAACGAAGAATCTAAGATGCTATTAAAATATAAAAACAAAGCTGGACTCAATCAAAGGAAATGGACATATACCAAAAACATGGAGGAAGAAAATAATATACTTAGATTTTGCCTCCCCCCCCATATATGCAGATTATTCTATTCCACTTGGTGTGTGTGTGTGTGTGTGTGTGTATATATATATATATATGGGCTTGATCTTTACTCTTCAAAATCAAGTCTGTACAGGGGTTTCATTTAAGAATGCTGTCTTGATGCAAATCAGAACAACAACGAGATACCATCTTGCTCCAGCACTAGTAGCAAAGTTCAATGAGACAGAAAATAACAAATGCTGGCAAGGATGTGGAGAGATTGGGACTTTCATACACTGCTGGTGGGACTGTAAAATGGTACAACCATTGTGGAAAGCAGTATGGTGATTCCTTCGAAAATTGGAACCAGAAATACCATTTGACCCAGCTATTCCATTACTAGGTATATATCCTAAAGTGAGAGCCATGACAAGAACAGACATATGCACACCCATGTTCATCGCAGCACTATTTACAATAGCCAAAGATGGAAACAACCTAGATGTCCATCAACTGAGGGATGGATATCCAAATTATGGTACATACACACAATGGAATACTATGTAACCCTAAAGAATAATGTAGAATCTGTGAAACACCGCATCACATGGATGAACTTGGAGGATATTATGCTGAGTGAAATAAGTCAATCACAAAAGGACAAATATTGTATTAGTCCGTTACTGTAAAAGTCAAGGAAATGCTTATCTATGGAAGGACATTTTCTTTGTTGGTTACCAGGGGTGGGAGGGGAGGGTAGAGAATACAGTTAGATAGATAGAGATAAGTTTTGATTTGGGTGAAGAGAAAGGCAATCTACCAAATGTGAGTGATCAATATAGTGGCATTGAGGATGAGAAAGACATAGAGAGGTACATGGGAAGTACAGACAACAAAGATGAATCCTTTTGCACATATAGTACAACGTGATCAATGAAGGCAAACACGGGTATATGGGTGGATAGATGGGTGGACAGGCTGAACTATTAGCTATGTCTATCAAGTGGGGAGTGCACCCAAGAACATGTATAAGGTTGGCAGACAGTGGTCCTATAACTTTATGTGTATGATCTGAATTCCTGGGTGTATAATGGAGCTGACAAGGGGCAAGGTTGTAGTCACTGCTTGGTCACAGGTAGCTACCCAGAGGGACCAAGTAGTTGAACCTGTGGGATCGGGACCATAGTCGCAGAGGACATCAAGCTCAATTGGCATAACATACTACACAAAAATTGTTCTACCCCCTACTGTGGCGAATAGTGACTGAGATCTTAAAAGCTTGCAAGTTGCCATCTAGATGCAACGATGGGTCTCTCCTCGTCCAGAGCAAAGAAGAATGAAGAAAACCAAAAATTCATGAAACAATTATTAGTCCTAGTGAGTGGTACATCATCCGATCTGCAGCCTATACGACTATGAGACCAGAAGAACTAGATGGTGCCTGGCTACTACTGTCAACCACTTAGAAGAGGATCTATGTAGGAGATCCTGGATAGACGACAGGGAGAACAACGTGGAACAAAACTCAAAATCATTTGAGAAAAAAAAAAGGGGGGGGGACCAGGTTTGCTGGCCCAAGGGAGCCTGGTGGAACCACTGAGACTATGGCCCCTAGCTGCCCTTCAGGTCTGGAATTGAACACACGCCTATGGCTTCCAGCCAAACAATGGACAGGCATATGAGTTGAACATTTACCTGAGGTAGGTACACTCCTTGGAGAAAACAAGCATGGGAGAAAGAAGGGCTGCTTATGCACAGGGAGACAGCTCAGGGGGCAGGAATGCATGGAGGGATGGACACAGGGAAGAGGTAACTGTTGGGAGGAAGTGGGAGAGGAAATGTTGCATTGTGGTAAATTGTGGTCAATGTCATGAGACAAAGTGTATGTGAACTGCTGTACGGAAAGTGTATTTGCTCTGTAAATTTTCACCCAAATCACAATAAAAAGAAAGAAAAAAAAAAAGAATGCTCTCTTTCAATCACCTGTACCTTAAGAAAAGGATTACTCCTACACATGGTACTTATATTTTAAACATCTAAGCTCTAAGACTTACACTCTAAGCCAAGACTACAGACTTAACTCTCTATGGTGATGTCAGCTGACCAATCAAGGAGGTTATACCTTATTAAAAAAAATTTTTTTAAAAAAAACTTTATTCTGTACTAAAAATATTAACCAGCTTTGATAAAAGCAAGACAACTCAAAATACTCAATAATTAATCCAGAATTAACGCTGGTACTCACAAAACTTTGGGTCTGTCTTTGTCATTCTCATACAGGCTAGGCTTGAAGTAGGTTCCAGTGATTTTTATCCCAGATCCCCATTCTCCATTAAAAAAACCTTCAATGTAATCTCCATTTGGCATAGTCAGTGTTCCCTATGTAAAGTGAGAAGGGAAAACGTGGAATTAGAGGAAAAATTTTCAATATTACAGATAATACCACAATTAATGAAGACAGAATGCATCCCCCCTAAAGTGGGATAAGGATGTCCACCCTTAATCATCACTATTTAAAATTATACTGGAGAGTCTAGTTACTGCATCAGGCAAGAAAAAATAAAAATCAAGAAAAAATAAATATTAAATGGCTAATGTTGCCCTTTTTAACTTTTTCTTTATTAGTCTACACTTTAAACCACACACACACACACACACACACACAGTGTAAATATGCCTGTACAAAAAATGTGTATAAAAATATCTCATGGGTCAAAGAATAAATAACAAGAAAAATCCAAAAATAATTTGAACATATAATGTATCACATTTTATAGGGTGCTGCTAAGGCATTGCTCAGTGGGAAATTTATAGCTGTAAATACACTATGAAAAAAGAATAAAGATCTCAAATCAATAATCTATGCTTTCACCTTATGAACTAGAAAAAGAGGAACAAAGTAAACCCAAAGAATGAATGAAATAGGAAATAATAAATATTAAAGCAGGAATAAAAAAGATCAAAAACAGGGGAAAAAAATAAAGAAAAATCAATGAAGCCAAACAGTTTTTTGAAAAGATCAACAGAACTGACCAATATTTAGCTAGACTGGTAAAGAAAAGAAAGAGAGAAAGAAGGCCTAAGCTGCCAAAGTCAAGAATGAAACAAGGGATATTATCACCAAGCTTATAGAAATTTCACAAGTTATAAGGGGAATACTAGGAGATCAATTTTATGCCAATAAATTAGATGAAACAGAAAAAAAAAAAAAACAACGCACTGCTGTCGAGTCGATTTGACTCATAGCAACTCCTCTTTGTGTTTCAGAGGCAGTATCACTACAGAAATAGAATGCTCAGTCTTTGGAGTGGCTGGTGGGTTTGAACCACCAGCCTTCTGGTTAGCAGTCAAATGCCTTAGGCACTACACCACCAGAGGTCCTAAACTAACTCGAAAAGAAATGTAAAATCTAAATAGATCGGTAACAGGTAAAGAAACTGAATTACAAAGTTAAAATCTTCTGACAGAGAAATGTTCAGGTCCCCATGACTTCACTGGTAAGTTCTCCCAATATTTAAATATACCAAGGCTTCACAAACTCTTTCAGGAAGTAGAGGAGGAGACACTTCTCAATTCATTCTACGAGGCCAGTATTACCTTGGTTCCAAAGACTGGCAAAGACATAGCATGAAAAGAAAACTACAGACCAATAACCCTCATAAATATAGATGTGAAAAGCTTCAACAAAATATTAGCATTATATCCAACAACACGTAAAAGAGATTATACCATACATGACCAAGTGTGATGTAGCTAGGACCAAGTGTGATGTAGCTAGGAAAGCAAGGTTGGTTGCTAAACATAATCATATTATGAAAATAAAGGATAAAAACCATGATTATCTTAAGTGAGGCAGAAAATTCACTTTGACAAAATCCAAAATTCATTCATGATAAAAACTCTGAAAAAACTAAGACTAGAAGGGAACTTAATGTTGCATAGCATTGCATTGTACGTATGTACCATAATTTGGTTACCCGTCGATCCACTGACGGACACTTAGGCTGTTTCCATCTCTTTGCCATTGTGAATACTGCTGTGATGAACACAGGTATGTGCATATCTAAAAAATACATAAAGAACTCTCGCAACTCAGTAAGACTAACAAAACCAAAAACCAAACCTGTTGCAGTGAGTGAAGTCTGACTCACAGTGACCCTACAAAAACAGAGTAGTTAATTCCCCATAGGATTTCCAAGGCTATAAATCTTTATGGAAGCAAACTGCCTCATCCTTCTCCCCCAGAATCACTGGTGGGTTGGAACCACTGACCTTTTGGTTAACAGCCGAACTCTTAACCACTGCACAATCTGGGCTCCTTTCAATAAGACTACAAACTATCCAACCAGAAACTGTGCAAAAGATTTGAATAAACATTTCACCAAAGAAGATATATGAATCACTAATAAGCCCATGAAAAGATGTTCTTTGCCATTAGTCACTGGGGAAATACAAATTAAAAATCACAATGAGATACCATTTCATATCCACTAAAATGGGTTTAAGAAAAAAGACAGAAAATAACAAGTGCTTACAAAGATGTAGAGAAACTAGAATCCTCACGCATTGCTGACAGAAATACAAAATAGAGCAGTCATTTTGGAAAACCATCTGGCAGTTTTTTAATATGTGGATCATCAATTTACCATACAAACCAGTGATTCTACCTCTAGGTATCTACTCAAGAGAAAAGACAACCTAACTCTACCCAAAAAGCTGTATTCAAATGTTCACAGCAGCATTATTCAAAATAGTCTACAACTAGAAATAAGCCAATGTCCATCAACTGGTAAATAGATTAACAAATGTGGCTTTGAAATACTAACAAGCAACAAAGAGGGATGAAGTCCTACACATGTCATAATATGGAAAAACCTCAAACCATTACACTAAGTTTAAGTAGCCACAGAAAAAAGACCACGGAGTGTATGTTTCCATTTATAAGAAAAGTCAAATCTACAGAGTGATAAAGTCTATTCATTACTACTGGGGATGGTAGTGGGCAGTGACTGCAAATGGGCAGTCTTTTAGGTGATGGAAATGTTCTAAAACTGGATTGTGGTGATGGCTGCACAACTCTTGATATTTATGAAAAAATCATTAAATTATACACTTAAAATGGATAAATTTCATAGAATACAAATTAGCTTTTTAAAAATGTCAGAAAATAAAAAAAGGTTGTATTAGAGAGAGAAAGAAGAAAATTAGTTCCCAACCTTTCCACTAAGAGTCCAGTCATCTGAAAATTCTCCCTCATAGATAGTATCATCTTCAGAAAGTAAAAGCCCATTTCCCTATTGTGAAGAAACAAAACAAAAATCACAACACATAAAATGCAGAACAAGTTGAGTATATGCAGTCATATCCCTGAAGACTTAAGTAATCTTAAAAAGACAAGAAAAACAATACTAAGAAGTTTAGAAAACTAATAAAAAGATCATTTTAAAAAATAAGGACATAGGTTATTGTAAAAGTTAAGGAAAGGTTTACATATTGGAGGACATTTTCTTTGTTGGTTACCAGGGGTGGGAGGGGAGGGGAGGGAATGCTGTTAGATAGATAGAGATAAATACTGATTTG